GACGTCGAGGGCAATGAAACGAGGTGATATATATTTCTGTACTGTTTGGGCCACTTGTGGGTTGTGGAGGAGAAGAGACGGACGAGGAAAAAAATTCAGCACCACGCTTGGAGGAGATAGCAGGTGGTAGAAAATGCATTGCAATTTATGGGTTAATGAATGAAGAGATAAGGGACGTTATTACATTCCCATCATTTTTTTTTTTTGGCGGGGAATGGGGAAATGCGAAGAACATTTGGATGATAGCACTCTCGATAGCACCTTCATGACCACCAAATTTGTGACTCTCAACCGGTAATAGCACCACTTTTTCTGAATTACAAGTGTTTACCGGATTGCATCGAATTGAACTGGCCGATAATGTTTCCATCTCTCATTTTTTCTACATATATATCCGCTTAACAATGGATCACTATCCTTCATTCGGATGGAACTCCTGTAATAATAACATCGATAATTTACCAATCTATCCCGGGACCGAAATATAATCCGGAGTGAAATCCATTTTTGCGATTTATTACCGTATGAAAATCACAGCGCGAGAGATTCATCATTTCACGAGGAAAAAAATTACCTTCAGTATCATACAGCGAGAGAGAGATATTATCAGCAAAATGACGGAAGTCATGTTCGCTTGATGACTGGTAATCGATCCGGTATTCACTGATAATTGACGTAAAAATCACGTAACACTTGCGTAAAATTCTCTCCAAAGTAACTCAATGTTTATTGAACACTTCTCTCCATGCAGAAAAACGAAACGATAAACCGTTTTGATTCGGTCATAATAAATTTGTTAATAGAGTGATTCCTTGAAAGATGAGTAATAACAAAGAACTCTCAGGGATAATTGCTCTATTGAATAAAATTTAATGGGCAGCGTCAAGTATTAATGGAAAAGTAGGATGTAAAAAATTTTAGGACGTGGTATAGTGAAAGCCACCGGTATGCATAATTTACACGTAGAAACCATGAAACCCGACGGCATTGGGGGACAATTAATACATGGACAGTCACACCGAGTGGCCGACCCAAACCTCTACACCCCAGAAGAGTGTACCACTGTGAACGCTCTCACCCTTCCTCCCTTCATCCCTTCATCCCCAACTCCTCCAACCCCACCAACTCCTCTTTCAACCCAATTTCTGTGGTATCCATGGTAGTGTCCAACTCCTCTTGTCCCTGAATACTATTAATCGCCAAATATAGGTGAATTCACGTACATCCACCGTGGCGGCATGCGTATTCGACATAGAGACACTGGACAACTGGTAAGCCCAAGTCTACACTGTATAATAGTCACGTTGTTTCCGCACTGCCACTCACCAGATGAGCTTCATTGTTCTGAGTATGTGTGCCCCTTTATTCAAATCTACTTGACTCGTTGCTTCATCCACTTCACTGGCTCTGTAAGACATTTTTTTTTATGGATATATCATATTTATTTAAGAGAAGTTCATCTGCTTCAGTGACTTCAATCTCACTTCTCGCAGCTTGGACAGCTTTAATGAATCTAGTTTATTTTAATATTCGAGGGAGAATAATGAGAGAAGTGATTGAGGGAGGCGAGTACTTTATATTGCGTTTCATTATTAATTAGGGAGTATAACTGGGAAACGGGAGATTTAATTGATGTTGAAATGGAGATGGTGGAAAAACACCATCAAAAACAGATGATATTTTGCGGGTAATTAATTCTTCCGTATCTTCGATATTTTATGCCCTTTTTTTTAATTACGGGGAGGGGGAGCAGTTTAGAATCTGTCCGATTTCAATGGGGAGTGATTATATACTGAAAATGGTATCCCTCTGTGGAAAATATTTTTAAAATATTCGTACCTAAATAATCATGAATTGATCGTTCGGAATTTCAATTTTTTTCACTGCATAAATTCCGTATAGGAAATAGAATAGAACAATTGACGGAACAATAGGAATTTCTGCTTGAATCATTCCCTAAAGTAAATAGAAAAATCGTCAATAGCAGGTTGAGGGTGTGTGCTCTTGACGTGTACCACAATACAAGAGGGAGAGACGTGCACAGATTAAACTACCTGACCATCAAGATAAAAACGTGACGAAATTCGCCGTTGGCCTACAGGCAAATTTCCATAATCGAAGTTCAATCTTTCGTTCTCCCTTCCCTTCCCTTCCCTTCCTCTATCCATCTCTTCATCCTCTGAAGAAGTCACCACATCCTGGAGTACTTTTCTATTTTTTGATACAATTCGCATCGACTGCATTCAGTCAGCTGAAAAAACGTCACTCTGAAAATCCATAAAAGGGGATTCCCCCACATTTGTAGTGTCAAAAAAACGTTCAACCGTATTTCAATAGAAATTTCTAATAGTGTTATTTTGCATTAACCTAATCGATTACCCTTTTCGATTAGTAATTAGGAGAAAAAAAAGGACATCTGAATTATTCACGATTAAAAATGGGGAACGCCAACCGTGAACTCTGTGTAATGGTACTGATTTACGGATGTGTTTTCAAATCTCCCTCCATTCTGCAAAAAGTTTTCGACAATAATTCCCGAGGTATTCGCAAAAAAAATTCACTCGAAAGTTGACTCGACCCCATGTACCACAAATTTAGATAAAACCGAGGCATTACGCATTGTTAATTATCACGTCAATTAAAAAGAATTTCAATTTCACAACTGTTCAAGATGCAATCACAATCTTCTAATTGTTTCATTCTGAATTCTCCAACTACTTTCACAATCAGATATCATTTATTCTCGGAACCGTCTGTTTCTCCTACTTTTTTAGTCCTAACCCCTCGAGAAATTGGTCTTTCGCCGAAACTACCAACTCTCCAGCAGTTATACACACTCTACCTGCAGAAAACTTTTAACCAAGTAATTCGCGAGACACGAGGTAGGTGAGTTTGTTTTCACGCCATTGTATCTATCGCAAGTCTGAGAGTATAAGTATATATCCGTCTCTCGTTGGTACAACGACCAACTCATCTCGAACTTGATTAAAGTCACCGAGTGATAGGAACTTCCATCGGACATTGTTCGAGTTGGAAACGTAATAAATCTATTTTACTAACGTTCCTGGGACTAGATATTAGCGAGTCCAAGCTCGTACCTTTCCTCATTCACTTCGGGTCCCTTTCAATTAATCCAAGTTTGGGGCCCAACCAATCCACTTCATTCACCGTGAAACCTCTTTGTCCCTCGATCTTGTCTTCACGATAATATTCATCTGGTTTAACTCATCTGCCATTGAAGCATGCCGATTCGACAAGATTTGTTCATCAAATTCTCCGGGATAATTAATGTTGAAGAGTTTTTCAACAATACTGAAGATTGAAATTTCATTTGTGGCATGGTACTTCTACATTGTTTCAAAATTGGTTCAACAATTTTGAGTAATTGTCAACACATTTTGCCGAATTTAACGACAGTTGCCAAAGAGGATCTCATTCCTGATAACAATGACTAGCCCATAGCAAATAACCGATACCTACACAATATCACGGTAATAGCAATTGCACTTCCATCAGAAAGTTCAATTAACAGTTGCATGAAACATTTCGAGTTTATTCCTTCGATTCCCACGGATAATTCAATTACAACCCTTTCATTTTATGATTTTTAAACGTAAATAAAAATTATCTGCAATTGAGTAATTCCTACTCGGTCATTAAAAGAAAGATATTTTAAACTTTGAAAAAAAAAAAAAGATATAGTATATTTCCCATTCCAGACATGCGGAATTCCTTTGAACGTGTGAAATGAATAAGTCATTGCGAAAAAATTGTAGCAGAGGAAAAACTAGTGCGAATCTCCACGCCAAAAACTAACTGAAGTCACTCATCTCGCGATTGCTGGAGACAATAAATGTATGATGCAATATCAGAGATTCTGGAAATTATGGATTAAGATAACGTGGACCACGCAATGCCGAGCACGCGCCATCTTTTTACATGCAGAACATGACCTGCAATACGAGGCATTTTAAGTTTTATTCTCAGTACACACTGCGCCCGCGTCTACTCTCATGCCTCTCGGCTTTTCCCTCGTTGCTTTTTTTCCCTCCTCTGCTTCGTGCTTTTTTTTTCAATTTTTTTATGCGAGTCTTTTTCACGCTGGGCCCCTCACAGGGAGCCACGCCACGGTCTCTCCTTTTCCCTCCGGCTTTCTTTCACCTCATTTTTGTTTATTTCACATTTTTTCAGACCAATCTCTCGTCCAGCACATAGATTCCTCCCACTGCCAGCATCCACGGGGTGACTAAAAGCCCTATTTCACTCTGATAATTAAAATTTTTATCTGATAGAAAACACTTTTCAATTAAATTTTATGAACAGGCCACAGTGGGTCGGCCCCGTTGGTCAACATTTAATATGAATTTGTGTAATCGAATTACACGGAATAAAAGAGGAAACAAAACTGATTTACGGTATTTAATGAATTTTTTAAATAAATCATTCTCTTTCGTCCTGACTCACAAAAGTCTAATAATTCCTCACTGAGAAATTTTGAATGAGTTTTTAAGGGTTGGCGTCAGAAGCCGATTTGGGGCCAAAGGAGTCCCAGAAAAAAAAAACATAAAGCTCACTTCCGGCAAAGTGAGCTGAATTGTTGCCATCAAACAGTCTCGCGGATTAGCATATACACACTCAAAGAGCCAGAAGGTTTCGGTGTGGAACCAAATACGTCCCTGTCGTACGATAAAAGATAATGATACTGACGCAGAGAGGAATGGTGTTAGCTCTCCTTGAGGCACATAAAACTGGAGTGGAGATATGTATGCTCCTCCGATTTTCCGTCTCATTTCTTCGTGACCCTCTCGTCTTTCACAGCCATATTAAGAAGAAAGAAGGAAATAGAGAACGTAATGGGAAAAACGTATCATTTCGTGCGATACGACTAAGCTCTCCGCGGGGACAGTAAAACTCAAACATTCAGCTGTGTACCTGATATTTGCAGCCTATTGCTTGATTTACGAGGTACTATTTTTACTTTTATTTTCTCTCATTTCCAGAGGCAAAAGCAAGAATTGAGGGCCCATCCGACAAGTATGTGAAGACAGGCAGTGAACTGACTCTGACGTGTGTGATGTCTCAAGGACCACATGACTTGGGTACTGTGGCGTGGTACCGTGATAATCAACCGGTAGTGACATCACCTAGAAACGAGAACGATGTGGATGCTGAGCCACGGATCAATGTGGAAACTGTGTGGAGCGATGCCCTCACCTCCAGGTATGTTCAAGTAAATGAGACCAAAACCGTCAAACAAGTCAAACAGAGAGAAAAAAAAGAAGTTGAAAATATTGAAGTGGTAGGATAAAAGGAGAGAAGACGACAAAGAGAGCGAATTACAGGGCTGCAGTAATGGCAGAAGTAATCCGCCCTCTGTTACTAATTCTGCCTCAGGTCTATCTTCATCTCCTTGTTAATCATTTTTTCATTCAACTGTGGCTCATATTTCTTCCATTTTTCAGACTAAAAATTATCTACGCCAAACCCAGTGACTCCGGTAATTACAGTTGTGTGCCAACTGTCGCTGAGAGAGCGAGTATCAATGTACACGTTATCAATGGTAAGGATTAAAATTAAGAGTTCTGTTGACGCTTCTTGCTTATATTTGGTGATTTATTCTCTCGCTGTTTTCGCACACTCGTTCAAAGTTACATGCGACAACACGGTTATTGTTGTTGAACAAGTGGCACCCCCGGACATTTGACTTTACGAAATAAAAGAGTAGCAACTGAGAAATCCATTGTGAAACTTGAGAATAGTTTACCACAAATGTATGTACACGGATGCAGCATGTTCTGGGTATAGTGATGTACGTGAGAATACGGGGGATGAGAGAAACAGAAAATTACTGAGTATTACTGGATAGTTCGGGAGACCTCGGGTTCGGGCATCAGTCGGTAAAATATTGTGGTTGAGAAGTAAAATTTTACCTGGACAACAGTGAAAAGAGTGTACAACGATTTCTCGGGTTGCCTCTGAAGCATTCGCCTTTGCCATCCATGCGCACACAGACTCATGACCCAAGAGAAAGCTTCATCAAAACTGGTTCACGGATGGCGTGAGCCATTGAATGCCTGGAATTAGACGAAAATCGTGGCCATGACTGCGCGAATACAACCCCAACCCATTCACTAACATCCCAGCCTTCACCGAGTTCCGTTATTTCAACTGAGTTTACTTTTTATACTCAACCTCCTCGCTCTTTTCCCCTTCTTTTTATCTCCTCTTCGCAACTTTGTGGAGAGCGGAGAATGAAAAATTTTTCTAATTATGCGAATACATCGGCATGAATGCTAATATTTACTTGTTTGCTTTTTTTTTCACTCATTTTCATTGTCAGTGGGTTTCTCTCGGTTGTTTATTTTTTTAATGATGAAGTGTACGCTTGAATATGAATAAAATTGATTTTTAGTTCCAGTATCTCACATCGCTATGTTTAGCTTAAATTCGGGTGGGTAATGGCAGTGATTTTAATGATAATATATTATTTAGCATTCATATCGGTTAGTCATTGGCTCGTCAAGGCTTTATGCATGTCCAATTAGTACTAATCAACTAATTATGTAATGATTCCAATTACTGGTTGCAATCGTGATGAATAATGAATTTTAATCCAAATTATCGAATTGATTGGGGGAATGGAAATTTATAACGCTATAACCTTTAGCAGTTGTATGCCCGCAAAAAACAAGTGTTTCCCTGCTTTAACCTTGTTCGAATGGACATTGTTTTACTCTCTGAATCTATCGTGTTTTGCATTTCCACCGGGTGAATGTACCTCTGCATATATGAATTGTGCAAAATTCCAATGTGTCAGTAAAGTTTTAATGAGTCTCTCTTAAGAGTTCCCGGCGATTACGTCTGCTGCCACATGAATACAGAAAAGCTATTGTATTATACTGTTCCATTTATCGTAAACCAACAATAACTCCCGATGAAATTATTGCGGACAATATTCAATACTGGTGATTACATTTGTCGGAAAAAAAGACAGCCGGATGCGGTCAATGGACAAGTACACGAAGTTCAATGCATTTTTTCCGGAAAATTTTATTTCTCATGATGTATTCAATTTTTTACAATCGCACGGATCATCCGTGTATCAACTCCATCAGTTTTTTTTTTCACAAATATAAATAGAGTACATTGTATAGGACGACTGTTGAGGGTTTGTATATGTAATACCCCTAGGATAAGAGCACTCGTATTCAGCCATTCGACTGTATCCAAAATGTATGAGTACAAATTCAATATTGCATATATACTGTTTACTAATATTTGATTTATTATTGTAACAACACTGTGGAGCATAGTGAACAAATACGCATGGATGAATCGAAAATCGAAGAACCACCTAGAAATAGTAATTAAATGTTTGATAATTATCCGGCATACATATCCGGTGTACATGTGAAATATACCGAGTGTTATTCATGGATCGATGGAAAATGGTGGAACTACGCTTGAACTCAAGATTTTTTGGATGCATATGTCAGTATGGAACGGCGGAATACAGATGAAAGGCAAATAAAAAATATGAAACATCTGTTGAGGCTCTGCAGTTTTCGTATACGTCACAAAACTTTTGCATTTCGCATAATATCGATGGTGAATTTTGAGCAGTGAGTAAAGGGTGTACTGAAATATTTCATCAAACTGGGGAGGAAGAAAAACCTCAATTCTGAAAATAGGAGCATAAATTTTAGGGAAGAGGTAGAAGGGTCCTGTCTCGAATGGAAGCGAGAGGGGGTTAGTGAAAATAAATTTACCAGGACATTTCCTGTCCTACACAAGACTACCGAATACCAGTGCCAACTTCACTACAACGACTAAAGATAATCTAACCCAATGACATCTTATGCACCACCACTAAATTTATAAAGTTGAATTTAAGAAGTAATTTACCAGAAATAATAAATAAAAATTCAGTGCGAGGAAAGTTTACCACAATAAAATTTTACGATCCAGAAAAAAGGGGAAAATTAAACAATTTTTTCCAACCTTTAAGGGTGCAGGGTGCAATATTAGGAAAACAATGGCCGATGTTCATCTGTGTTCTTTATAAACCGACAATTGTAGTTCAACGATTGGCAGTTCGGGGTGAATGACTTTATTTCATCCAGAAATCGGCAAATCTTGTTATGCATTATGGTATTTTCTATTTCGCCGTTTTCCCCATTTTTTTTTTCGATTACACCCTCCACGAAGCATATATGAAGAGCACCGGAGGCAGTTTTACCGTGGATGGAGAGGAAATACAGGAGGAACGCCTTGGCTATAAATTCAGGCAATAAGTTGGGTGAGTTTGGTGGAAATGGTAGAGGATTTTGAGGGGAAGGGACGAGCGATATCGGAATCAAATCAGTGCCAAGTAGACAACCCAGAGCTCCACTTGGAAACACGTATGAACTTCATGGAAACTTGTGCAGTTCTCTCTATAAAACGTTATAGATATACGAACCGTGCCTTAACACGCACAAGAATAAATATCTATCACTTACATCGAGATCTAGTTTCCATCTACTTTTCATATGGCACACAACTCAGAGTTACTTCCCTTCGAGTCATTCATCTAGAATACTCGCATAGTAATTTTCCGATAATTTTCCGTATTGATGAATTATTGGCACGACGAGTGAGAAATATCTGCAGAATCAATTCTGCGCTGATTGATCATAATTCACAATCTTTTTCGGTTAATGTACATCAGTAAAACTTTTCAGAAATTCCTCGTGTTTTATTGGACCCCTTTCACGCTCGGGGTGATTTATTCTCTTTCATAAAATACATTCACCTTAACTCGGTTGACAATTTTTGTTTAAACTTTTCGCATTGAGTTCCGGAAATTTCTAAAAGTCAAAAACTACTTTACTCCACTTGTTTTGTAATATAGTATTCACTTATTGTGGCGAAAACAGGGAGTTGAAAGTTATCTATTGTCTCCAGGATACCAAGAAAATAAATTTGTATTATCAATAAATAAATTTGGCTTTGTACGTAAAAAAGAGAAATAATTGGACAAAATGTATGAATGCAAAACAATGAATTACGAAATACGACGATGGAAAATTAATTGACGAAACACAACAGTATTAGCATAGTTGGTCTTGACCCCTGAAGGTATAGCTGATGGCTTGTTATCGTTTGTCAAAACCAAATGATGAAAGACATGAATTAATTAACATGAAGCTATTTTGTATGTTACAGGTGAACATCCTGCGGCAATGCAGCACGGGAATACGGCTGTCAGTAAACCAGCTCCCTATCTTCTCCTTGCCCTGATTCTGTGCCAATTCAGATAATATGATGCGCCGTGATTACTATACACACGAAAAAAAAAAAATGGTAAAAATTAGTGTCTATGTGAAAATGCACCAAAAAGCAGGTGCGTAAGACGGATAAAAAATATTTAGGGATGCATTGTGAGAGGAGAAAATCTATCCGTGTGATTGTTACGTCAGTTTTTGTGTATATTCCCACTACATAGATGTAACGAGGGAAATCAAAAAAAAATATTGATTTTTATTGATTCAAGTTGAGATATTGATGAGAATTTCCCATTGCTCAAACATCGCGAAGATATTTTTCAGCGAGTGTCTCACTGCGGATCAATTAAACATAATGATTCAAAGAATATTGTGAGAGCTAACAATAAGAAGAGAAACGATGAGCAAAGCGTATCGCAAATATACTTCAAGACCCTCACTTCTTTCTAGCGTTATTTGTCAACAATTAAAATTGCGTTAGGGAATGCTCCGGTGTTTTCTCCGTGTTTTATCCCTGTGGATGTTGAAAGGAGGCAAAAGGTGGAAACTATCAAATGTGATAGAAGACAGATTGAGATGTCGACTAAATAAATAAGGGTGGAGGAGAAAAAATGAATAAAAAAGAGTGAGAGGAAATAACAATATTGTTCGTAGATAACGATGCGCCACCTCAATGATCTTTCAAGATCTACACCGAGTCATCAACTACGAATTTTCCTTCCTGCAACCAACGCCTTTTAATCCAGTGGAAAATTCTCTCCGTACCATTTTTCGTATTATTCCAACTCCTTCATTCTCCTCTCCATCCTTTACCATCTCAAGTCTATTGTCCAACTTCTCTTCAGCACCTTTGGAATCCTCGATAACTTCCAAAGGAGCGAAAGTCTCGTTATTATGCCTGGGAGTTGAAATTAAAAAAAAATGATAATACGGAGGGCGTCGAGTTGTGTTTCATTCTCCTGAATAGAAATCTGAGAATAATCACAAGTTTTTACCTGTTTCCCCTCTATCCTACCCCTTCTCCTCCATGACCATAGAATCGCACAGTGTTAAATGTCAAATAAGTGTCATGTTATAGGAGAAAATAACGAGAAAATTTGAAAGAAAAAAAGAATGCTAATGAAACAGATGTTCTCACCGTGGAAATTTATTTCTATGTGATTTTAATTATCAAGAAGAAAAATAAAAACCCTTTACATATATAAGAGATTACCTAAGAGTAAGACACTAAATATTGACTATATGAAAATGGTAGGAAGTAAGCAATGGGAATCACAGTGGTATGACTTTAAGAAAAAAATATTTCAAGAATAATTGAAAAAAAAAGAGATAAAAATAAAATTGCCCTGTTTTTTTTGTATGGCAAATATTTGCCCGGCTGTGTTCCAATTTTCACTTTATTTTTCATGTGCATATTTTCACCCGTGTATATAATATTTTACTTTTGTAAATAAATTTATCCACGTCAAAGAATCGAACATCTATTTATTTTTCCAGATAAAAAAAAAAACATAATAATTGAATAAAATATGGGGTGGCAAATTGAAGACTCAATTATCCGCGACGAACGACCAGTCCCCTAGATAATTGATATTTATTTTAATTGTTATTTTAATTGATGTAGATGACGAGGTGAGACGGTATGAAGTACAAGTGGAGATATTTCGCATTTTCATGTACCCCAATCAATATTCACTGGAATTATTAATGGATTGCCGAGATAGAATGCGGAAGGATGAGTTGTGGCACTTTGCCCTCTCTCTCTCCCATTTTCGGGAATTTTGGCAAAGGCGCGAGCTAGACCCCTAAATATCCGTGTGAAAACCACGCTGAAAACGCATCGGGGTCACGAATATTGATCCCCTCTTACCCTTCATCCACCCACAATGTTTCGCACACAGTTGACTATAATACTAGGTTGGCGTTGCGTCCTGGAGAGCCTTCCCATTCCTTCCATTGCTACTGAATTACAATGGCCTCTATGGAACGCCCGGGTCTTAAAGTCGAAGTGCCGTTTATACTTGAAAGCATAAACAAAGACCTCAGTACAGGAGAAAGGGCTCGAGTAAGTGGGACTATTCTGTATAACTTTCAAAAACAAAATCGCTCATTTAAGGGACATCACAGTACTTCGTTTGAATAACATTTTTACATCGTAAAAAAGTTCTCGGGAAAAAAAGTTATTTCAGATAAACAACGAGAAGCACTTCAAAAAATTTACGTGCGAATGATTTTCCACATTATCTAGATTGTCTACCTCTCAACTGAATAAAATTCCTATTACGGATATTAAATCAGGGATGAAGTGCTGAAGGGTGGACGGTCCCTGCACGTATCATTCTCAAAATTTTTTTGACTATAATTATTATGTAATTCCACCCAATAAAAAAAAATCAATTACGCCCCGATGGAATATCTCAGGTCATTTAATTTTCATAAATCTTCAACCGGAACTTCAAACAAATTGTAACACGAGTTTCTCCACCCATACCCACATATTCCATCGTATTACCAAATAAAGTCACGCACGAGAAACAGCCAGAGATGGTAAAGATATATAAATCGATTGACGGTAAATCTTTGGCAATGCGAAACTCTAGCGTGTACCAACTTGCCCCAAAACCGAATATACAGACGTTTCCATACCCCACCCAAATGTAAATTCAATGCAACCCGCAACTATACAGATAGGAAAGCACAATAAACTTGGTTTTCCATTTCCACGAGACGGTCTTCATAAAAAAAAAATCTCAAATCCAAATGGTAAGTCAATTAAGGTTTTCATGGCCGTAGGAGAATCTACCATCCACGTGGGGCTCTCCGATAATACTCCCTTACCCCTCAGCCCCCACCCATTATATACCCGAGGTGATAAATTCCCGATGGAAAGTGGGCCAAAATCGAATTTCCGGTTGAATCGTCGAATATTCGAAATTGGCCAGGTTTAAAACGTTAAGCGGAAAAACGAGGCAATAACGCTGTATATGCGCGTTGGTGCGGATAAGAGGAAGAGTGAGAGGCAATGTGAATGAAAAGAGTGCAGAAGAAACATCCTGGAGAAAAAAAAACCAAAAAAAAAAAAACGAGACAGGAGAAAAAAGGGGTGGGGAGCGAATGCGAATGGAAAAATAAAAAGGCAACACAGCCGAATGCAAACGAACCGATATACCAAAACCCATTGCCGACAATGAGTAACGGGATGGAGGGGCCTGTGGGGAGACGAAGGGGTGGCATCCATAAGTATCGAAAAAACATCGATGACTGGGGCTATCTCGACGCGCGGGCTCGCAATAATGCCAAACAGTGCTTTTCTCTTCCTCGTTTTACCCACCATCGCGAAAAACAGAACACAGGAGTGAACACCAGGAACTGGAACGACGAGAGGACAGGTTTTGGTTCTTGCGCTGGCGCACAATCCATTCCAATTTACCGGCAAAATGTGCATAATCAAGATTGTATACGTACATTATTCCTCAACTAGTGTTACAACGCCAAAAACGCAACGGAGAAATAGAGTATTATTCGTTATCTCGTAAATGCAGATGAATACAAGAAATGAATATGTGTGGACAATGTATGGGTTTTGGTGGCTCGTGATGGGGAAGGCCGCAGGGTTCATTCCGCTGGGTTGCAATAATCCCCAGGATCTCATGAGCATGCCTATGTGTCTCATGGACAAATAACCGTGAAGTATTGTACCCCTTGTCATGTACAGCTGGTCAACTTGCACATCCATGATTTTTGGATTTTACGGTACAATGATTTTCCATTTCATTCCATTCCATTTCTATGTTGTTTTCATCTCCTTTTTTTTCGTTCTCTCGGGGTAATGTTATCTCGATATTTTGCGCTTGCTCGTTGTTCCACTGTGCATGCAATATATGAGATCGAAATTGTTGGATTATGTTGTATTGCCATTGAACTGTTTTATCTCGCTGGCAATCTAAACGAGAAAAATATGACAGGCGCTTACGTGGGCGAGGATAGTGTAGGGGTATTTGCTGAAGAAGGGGTGAGTCATCGACCTCCACTGATTCCAATATATCCGATTTCCTGGACAAGAGCAAGGAGGAAATTGATTCACGTGACACAGGCTCATGTCAGTGTGAGGTATTTTAAATTGAATGATAAAGAAGTTTATGTGGGTTATGGCTGTGATACCCCCGACACATGCTTTATCATTCTTTTCGGAATTCCTTTGGCAGTGATGGTCAGGGGATTGACTCGATAAAAATGTCTAGATAGCAATCAAACATCTGAGAGGAACATCAAAAAAATTCAACATTATGATTCTTCAATAATTCACGGTGAGTTTATTTTCTCGCGTTTTATTTATTTTTTTTTTCTCATGTTTTTATATTTCTGGGAAAATTGAATTCACCGCGGTATGGATTGGATCTGCGAATCGTGATGGATAATTGGTTTTATGAAGCGGATGAGCGAAAACAGTAAAATACAGAAGAAATGCATGAATAATTGAACAATGATTGAAGCTGTCAATCCATTTCACAGCTCTAATTGGTACGGGTGAATTATAATCAACCAACCGTAGCTGATTGCATACTCAAGCACATTGTCCATCGTTTTCATCAAATGATTAGAATTTATTGCTGGAAAATTATACCCGATAATGCACTGCCGTGTTATTTATCATATATTAAATTTTCCAATAGTAAAAATTCCCGAAAAAAATTCAAACTTTTGATCACTTTCGTTTGGTAATCAGCGTTCTCAAGGAAATACCAAATATTTGTTCACGGATTACATTCCCAAGTGAGAATAGGCCTCCTGTGTAAAATGAAAAAAAAAGTTCACGGGCAAAAAAAAAATGAAAGACTTAATTTACAGAAAAAGCTGGATTCGCACGGTAAACTCCCACTTGAATAATAAAACCGTCGAGCTATTTCTACGCGGATAAAATATTGTACGCGCCTGCAGTGGTTTTTCCGTAATACCGAATCCACCCCATTTTCCCGTCCTACCGCCTTTTGCCAGTGGTAATTAATGCTAGAACTCATTACCCATGGCAAGATAACGCGCAGCTGGAATAACAAGTGACGAGTGTGCGGGCATCAATCGAAATCTCGTTTTCTATTGAAACTCGATGGCAGATTTTTTTTTTCGATGCCATTTTTTATGAAAAACGTTCAATTATCTCCCTCAATCTACTGCGGGCCTTGAATTTTTTAATCCATGGAATTTTCAACATTTTTCCGCTCCTCCTGCCTCTCCCCCTTCGGGTCTCAACACCTTCTCATAATTATATCGCAAGTTGGACGTAATATTGCGGAAAACAATTTATTCCACTGTGATTCCTATTGAGGAAGCACTAATCAAAATTATTGGCTTAAATATCCGGTATGTTTTCAATTGGAAAAAAAAGAAAACCCGTTTTATCTGGAAGTCAGCTTTTCAGCGGCTCTGCTCTGTGAAAATACCGGAATTCTGCCAAGCGGGGCCCCAAGGCTGGAGTTCAAACAAAACTTCTGCGAACTCAGGAATTCCTTTGTTTCTAGTTTTTCCATGTTGAAACTTTTAATTATATTAAGGTTTTCACGGTATTTCAAATAATTTTGCAATTAACAATGTCAGATTTTGCGACAAAAGCGCCGAATTTTCAAAGAATTTTATTTATTCATTTATTACCATATTAACCGCTCAGCCTTTTACATTTTTAAAATACATATATACAAAATACATATATACAAAAAAAATATGCATTTTAATTAATTTAATCAGCAACTTAATGCATGAACCATTCAATTTTTTTTTCTCATTATCGATAATGAAATTCAATATGATCATGAAATAATTAATTTGATATTAATTACGTTATTAAAAAATATTGACATTACCCTGTCGCTCTCGAATTCGCCACACACGTCCAATCAATCTTACCCCAACTCAATTTGCCTTGTAATGGTCCTTAATTGTTATGGTTATTAATTAATTAATAAACCACAAGATAAATCAGTGAATAATCTCCATATGTGCCAGATTCGTATTAACGATGAGAGACCCAATGAATCACCGAAGATGTGCATCAGTGTATTACGATTCCCCGTTACCGTTGATTGATCGGAAATTAATTAGTTCTCATTAAATTTTCCATTCCATTCACTGCACTGTACGAATCCTTTTGTAGAAAAAAGAAAAACAGATTTTTTTCCATTCATTACTTCTCAATTTCTCATTTATCGATGGTAATTGAATTTGCCACCGATATGCATTACCGGAAATGCCTGAATTAATTGACCGAACGATTTAAAAGAAAACAAGAACTGTCCCAAAGATGATTACTTTTCAGGAAAAATTTTAAAAAATCGTGGGAGGGGTGAGGGTGAGGGGAAAGGCAAACAACGATTTCGCGATGATGGAATTTTGTGTGGAAAAACGTTAACATTTTTTTTTTTAGTTCTCCCGCAAATTGACAGGCTCGAGGGTGTGGGGGGTAAACGGATAAGAATTTTTCGATAACGTTGAAACCACCAGGTCAAATGGACTGTACATTGAAAAAAATAATAAACGTACTCATGGTCGAGTGAATGATTTTTGTCGTAAAATATGATGAAGCGATGGAAAGTCCTGTGGGACATCACATGCATTATAGAGACTGCTCGTGGAATCGGTCGATCAACGCCCAAATCCATTAGGCAGTTACGTATTATATAACTCACAATGGCTTAGCGATGGTAATAAATATTGATTGCTGTGCTGTAACCACATACCAGAGTGAGAGAGATTCGGTGTAGAAGGGGGCAACGCTTGGTAGGAAGAAGTGAGATTAGGGTAGAGAAATTTTGGTCCCGGGTGACCGAGGCTCAGGCTCATCGGGGTCTACCCTCTTAAGTAAGACAAACGATTTCTCGATGTCCTGGTTCTCCCTGGTGCTACCTCCACCAGGTGCCTCTGGACTCCCGCCACTTTATCTCATGCAGCATCTCCGCAGGCGGTATCAAGTTGTATAAATTCTCAAAAAAAAAGACTTAAAAAAAAAAGTTTTAGCAGTATCTCATTTTATAGCGACGGCCTCCCATCATTTTCTGATGAATTTACTCTGAAATCACATTGAAGTCCTGTGAAATCAATTTTATCTAACCATAATTAATAAATAATAAAACCTCATAAATCATAATTTTCTTTTTTGTTTAATAAATTTATCAGTATATTAAAAAAATTTTATAACATTGGCTGCATTTTTTAAATTCCCTCCACCTCGCCCGATTGTCTTTAAGCGATCATTTTTTTTATTAATTCGTGGATTGAGTAGCTTAAAAAAAATGGCGCACATTACGAATGTACAAATCCACTCGAAATCGAGTACAAACGATTTGAATATTACAATAGCGAAAGCATCATGGCGGTAGGTTAAATGGCACACTGAAGAGGGAATTGGGCTTGTCAATGGCAGATGACGAGTGATAATCACTGGAAATTAATACCAGTGACACGCACATTCCGTTTTGCTTAACATTAATAAATATTATTGAACATGAATATACTTTGGCGTGCAGATAATGATTGATCATTTCTCTGTACTCGGATCATATTATGACCCGAGGCTTGAGCCATACTCTTAAGATTTTCAAAAAATTTTCATCATTAATTATCGAATTTTTCAGCCCGAAGACGCGAGGCAACGATATTGCATCAAACAAAACATCTAACTGAAATAATAAATTCCCTGTCAGTATTTGCAAAATGCTTTGCAGCCAGTGCCACGTGTGCACAATCGTTTTACAATTTTTCCACTCCTCCAATGCTCCACCTTTAGCCGATTTTGGTTCTGACCAATGAACCATTCATTCCCGTGAAATTATTCCAGCCGTTCAACTCCTGATTTTTCTATAAAAACACATGAAGAACGGGTGAAAAAAAACAGCAGAGGATAAACAAAAAAAAACTATCGATCTTCCATTTTTCCGTCGTGAAAATCCCAGAGCGACGCAAACTCGGATACAAACAGCATTCAACGAACATTCAACAACGCGGTGTTTCTCATCATTAGCATTGTAATTATCAACCGCGAAATACCTGTAAAAAAAAAACAACCCGGATATCACTCAATCCACCTAATTTTACGCGACTCCCATTCATCAGGATCTTATCATCTTTTCGCAGTAAGTACGTCCTCCTGTTTAAAAAAAAATCATTAAACCGCATGTTGAAGTATTCTCACTCTAAAGTAATTATTTCAAGGAGTGAATTAATTAATTAACATGAAATACGAGTACTCTCCTAAACCGATGCAATATAAAGATCGCATTAACCATGAATTTCAGCGTTAATACTCATTTGGGATTAAATGGCATTAATAATGGGATATTCATAAAAAGAATGGACTCCTTCCCGAGCACTCGCTCGATACGATTAATTCTTAGTACCATGTATTTTTTTATCCCCTAAAATATTACCCGAGGAATCTTCCATTCCTCTGAATTCACCCATTTAACGTTAAATAACCGTAACGACTGAATTGTTATTATCAACCCTTCTGATCTCCTCACAACAGAGTTTTACGATATGAGCCTTTCCCTTAGCCTATCAAAACTTCAATTACCACACACTTGTATCATAAACAGAGCGCGGGAAAACTTTCAACTCATTCAATTTCTCGTTTTATTGGGTCACCTGACCTTTTGCCAGGCCAATCAGCATCATCGATATTAATGTACAATGGTACGCATGCGTAAATGCAGAACTAAATTTCCTTTCGTCTCAAGTGCGACACGTGCGCCCATAATCTAGCGGCTTTGATAGGTAGACGGCTCATTGTCGTTTAAGTAGATACATACCACGTTTCACCATTGCCGATTATTCACCGACCCGATAGAATTACCCCAATAAATTGCACTGCCTTCACCTTGAATTATCAACGAATTCTTCCAGACATTGGTGAGTACGATTGAAATACACGCACTGGGCGTGACCGATTGCATTTTTATTAATAATTAAAAGAGTCGATACAGGATGGACAAGTGTGATTAATAATACTAGCGCTTATCAGATTATCGTTAATATTCTCAAATGTGAAACTATGAAAATTATTCAGGCAGCTGCTTTATATTTTTTTTTTACTCTTCAACCATTCGATTATTTTTCGCGCCCTGACTGACATTGCGCAACACATTATGACTGTGCTCGACACTCGGCAAATAATTTTTTTTTTTCTCCAACAACTGATACGGCTTAATGCATCCCAATTGGATTGTATCTGGAATTTTCTAGAATAAAATTTCAAGAGTTATATCTCTCTTATGGTAGCTCAATCCACGCGCAAACATAATGCCACGTTCGGATCGTATCTATTTATTCGGCGTATATTGTGGAAATAGTATTCCTCTGCTATATCAAATATGATTCGTCTCTGCTGTGGAAAATGATTTTTTTTGTATACTCAAGAGAGAAGAGTATTCCCTGGAATTTGAGTGCAAAACAAAGAAGGTGGAAAAAAAAAATAACGATATCTGGGCTAAAGACACACGGTTTCTCTGTCAACAATGTCAACAATGTTTGAAAGTCGTTTGAGTTTCGCCTCGTTACCTTGCTTATATTTTGCTTTTATTCGGTTGAAATTCAGCCTTGTAGTCTAATCCTTCACGCACCTTGTTTATTCACCGAACGTAGGATTCCGTATGGAAATGATGACAATAATACTCACTTTTTTCACAGACATTGAGATATAAGACTGGTCTGAATAGGCAAAATATTCTGAACAATGGTGTCATCGACTGTAGGGGAAAATGGCGAGGTTCTTTCGCATATTAGAGCATCACCAACCGAGGGAATTCCACCCGGTGATTATCGACTCGTCGGATGGGACATGGATACAACTGGAAAAATGCTGGTGGATGAGATATGTCAGATTGCTGGGTACACGCCGAGCTCATCTTTTGCTCAATACGTCATGCCATTTAAGAATCTCACACCTGCGGCTAAAAAACGTCACAATCTCAAAGTCGTTACTGTGGGAAGATATAGATTGCTCAAAAACAACAAAACTAATAAGGCAATAATTTTTCATCTCTCCTTTCATTAATTTATTACCATTCTTCCATCCCTTTCAATTCTCCAGAGCAACGATAATTCCCTCTCCTACCAGATAATTGAATTTTTTTTTTTTCCATAAAACTGCAATTTATCACATCACTCCAACTCACCGCTCCTCCACTATCCATCATTATCTCAAGAAAGTTATTAATAGACGGAAAAATTTATATCTACACTCAGGGATTGAAAACCAAGAGCGAAATCTCCGCTATCACAGACTTTCTTGACTGGCTCGAGGAAGTGAAGGGCGACGCTGTTGATGGGCTAATTCTCATTCACCATGAATCAAGAAAAGTCATTCCTGCGATGCTATTGGCGTCACTTAGTAAGTTCAATCTTCTGGAGAGGTTCAAGAAAACTGTCAAAGGATTTGCCAATGGGTTCAACATTGCCAATGTTAAATGTGCCAATACCATTCGTGCCTTCTCACTGAGAACTCTGTCGCGTGTTCTCCTTGACCAGGTACTGTTATCATTGAATTAGAATTTACGAGTAATCCAGTTAATCCAGCTCCTTGTGTTTTTAATTTATGTGTCTTTTGAAATATATTCAGGAGGTTGAGATAGAAAATGCATCAGATCGCGCACGCCTTGCTCTTCAGATAGTTCAACACTTGAGCACTGGTGAAACTAAATCCACCGAGAGTAATCGTGATGGTGATACAACATCAAAGGCAATTATCGAGTTCACCAGAGAATTCGTTCAGCCAGTAGAAGCAGAAGAGAAGGAATCTGAAAAACTCAAGCTCGTGCTTGACAGGCAGCACAGTCTACTGCCAGTATTTCGCCATTTACTTGCCATGAATCGCAAAGAGAGACAGCATGCCTCACCTCTCAGGAGACTTCTCGCTGAATCCGATATCGATTATGCGCAGCTCATGGTAAGTTATAAAAATTCCCTGTCATCGATCTCCAGTCTCACCCAATACTTGTCAATTCACCTTTCTTATTTCCAAATTGCAGTAATATAATCATACAGCTTCTCCTCGATTTTTATGTATATTTCAATATTTGCGTCTTCCACACAACAAATACACGTGAATTGAATATAGTAATTTATTTCGCCATGGTAAATATTTTCCTTGAAATGAAAGATCCAATAGAGGGAAACTGCAAAATTTATTTATGAAAATTGACGTATGTTCATGAGACGAGTTTTATGTTTCATACTTCAGGAAGCCTGGTCAAAGGCGGAGAAATATGGATTGGAAAAATTGATCAAGGAGAGAGCCTCAAGTGCAACGAGTACGGAAATTGAGGATCTTCTTGAAGTACTTGAATGTCACTTTGACCCAGAAAAAACGCCAAAGGTCAAAGTCGAGACTAAACAGAGGAAGAGATCAAAGAAGAACAAAGAAAACCGCAAAGATGCTTCGGGGCTTGAGAGTCCAGACACCACAACTTTGCAATCACCAATTAAAGTAAGAAGCGAATCACTTGATACCGCTGAGGTATCACCAACAACGGTTTAATAAATATTCACGTGCCTCACAAAACGGGGATGAAGGTGAATGGAATTTGTAGAGTATCGCGTTTCATTTTCCATACTCTACGGATCTAGCAAATTGATTTTTTTTTTGTTATTAAAATATATATTTTTTTTTCATTATCAAAAGGGTCTCAGACCTGAGGACTAACAAAAGTCCGAATTGATTCAATTATTTAATAACTCTTTGATTATTATTTGAATCAAAGACATTCTCTCCATTACGTGAGATCATTCGCTCTCCAATTTCTCACTTTATAATCACCGGTATTTTTGTTATTAAATGATTTATTATACAATATACACGAATGAAGACAGGGAGAGAAGAAATTATATTTTTCAAAGTGATACAAAGACTCGACCGCGTCTTCTTTCTTCCTTTCATTTTTCACACAAATGTATTCTGATTTTCATTTAAAAATCACGTAAAGTTGATTCCACGTGGTCAATCGCACTGAATGGACACGGATAGTCGTTAAAAAAATTGTTATTGATATTTAATAAAATAATGGAATGAATAGCTTGTTATTTTTCGGATCTCATTGTACTGATTAAAATGGCAAAATAAAGAGATTCACGCATGAACACAGGTCTTTGAAAAAATATAAAAAATAGAATCCTAATTCCGTCAGTAGGAGCCGTAAACTGGAATTCATTTTTTTTTTTTACGACATTAAATTCCACGGAGTTTGTAGCGGTAACGACCGTTATCCAGAGTATCACTTCACACGACCACAATGATCTATGCAATCTGAATTGAATAAAAGTGAGAAGGTTTTATCCAGACTTCTCCCTCACGTTGAATATTGATTTGCCCCCTTTAAACGCATTTACCTCGCTGCAGTATTTCACTGGAAGTCCCACGATTTTTCTCCTTTTATCCCTGAAATAAAATCAACTGTTTCATTCGAGAAAAAAAAACCCTTGAATTTGCTCCGATAACTTCTAAAACATTTTCTATAAAAATCAAAACAGAAAGTGTCATGAAAAAAATGGCCCATTTCCGTCAGTAAAATCCATGGAATAAATTTAACGGCAAACCCTATAATGAGATAGAGAGAGAGAGGACAAATGTTGACGATGTTGAAAGAATTGATCATCAACTCGAGACCCTGACCAAAGTATCTTTTTGCTCTGTGCATTTGTCCAGCAGCTCAAATCAGTGCAGTGCGACTACTTCACTTTATATTTATTACCCGCAACACATGTCCTCTTCCTCCATTTCGCTTTCTCCATATGAATCAAGGTACACACACATGCATAAACTTTACAACCTCTTTAACCATTTCCTCCCACCCTATAAGGGCTTCTGTATATAACAACTGTACCCGAGAAAAATGACGAGTGCATAACGCACACATTGGGTTGAGTAAACCATGTCAACCGCTTCACCAGTTGAACCCTGCCACATTGAATCATTGTAACCCTGTCGCCTCGCCAACTTTATTGTCCCATGGTAGTAAACCATTGGAATGTTATCATACCTGTGTTATTCGGCGCGATGCGTGCATATAAAACCAGCAACGATTCTATATTGTACCGCAAGAGTGGTTCATTGCGCAAAAAAAAATTTTTTTTCGTCAGAGTACAACCTGCACTCCACTTTTTTATTTCCACTTTTTCTTTCTCATACTTCGAATTCTCGATTCATTGTTTTTTATGTTTTTTTTCTTTTATATTTTGAATTTATGCCGCCTATTCATATAAAAAATTGTTTGAAAGGGGGAGTGAATGGGGAAGGGGAATTAAAGTTTTCAGGGAAAGAGTTTCAACTCATACACTTTCCGGTAGTTTAATAGATAATGAAGAGAGAATAGTTTTTATAGTCTTCGAAATGTGCAGTTTGTGTTCGCTATTTTCTTTGAAATATTTACCACTTCAGAATGATTTTCCGTTTGATATCTTGTCTCGCTTCTCCTCTTCGTTGTTCGTATTATCATTATTTTTTAATCTATTTGCATCGGAGGAGAATACCCCGGGGAATACATCAGTAACTATGAAATATAAAATGGCAAAAGAATATGCAATTTTCATAGAAACGCGCGCTGTATCGGCAAAATTTTTTCCCAACTATAATGGAATATCTTATCTTTCTCTCATTATTAAACCGATTATCTCACTATCATAATTTATTTTTCAAGAAACGGACTTGGTAAAGATGGAGACACATATGAGCGCATTACGTCGCATTATTATTTCCACATATAATACTTTAAATATATTTTCATATTCCACCTTCAAATACAAAGCAAGGTGAACACAGAAATTTAGTTGCAATCTTTGTGAAAATTTATATTGCAGAAAATTTTACGCCAGAGACCTAGAGAAATGTATGAAATGAGAGATTACTTTCTCCGCAAACATATCACATTTTTTATTATTTATTCGTTGCGTTACTGAATTTTTTTTGTTGTGAATGAAGGTTCTGAGAGGAATGCAAAGGGGTTCACTGAGATTGGCAGTGGAGCTCTAGCAGTAAACTCATGTTTCGTGCCAGTCCTCATTTGCAATGGGTGAGGGTTGTCGTAGGAGTGACGGAGTGGTATTGCATTCGCCGAGGGAAACAGGTTACCGTCTCTGCAAAATAATTGACTCGTGAGCTTTCGGCTGTACTAGTTAATTGAGGGTGGAAAATACGTTACCACCTCTCAACCCTCGTTGAGCTGAATTTTTCATGGTGCACATTAAGAGCCCTTCTTCTCATCGATTTCCACAATTTTATTGACCTCTCATTGCTTCAGGACTAAATCAGCTCTGCCCATGATTCACTATTATCTCCAATTAGTTCAGAGAAATATCGGGAAAAAATTCGAGCATTGGTTATTACACACAGAATAACTCAATCGTCTAGCAGTTTATTTTGAAAAATATGATAGAGGTTTTAATATGAGCATTGTAAAAATTTACTGAGAAAACTTCTTCAAAGGGAAATTTCAAGATTTATTTAAAAGACTTGGTGAGGTTTTTCTCTGCAGATACTAATTCTGGACTTTCCAGAGTTATAGACAGAATAACTCGACGCAATGTTATGGACTCATCTCCAGACCTTCTCTGCCTCAGTTCTCGGAGATGAAAAGTTTAAGTATCTAGAATCCGTGCAGTATGCTTTTCTACTTTACCATTCTCCTTGACAAGTACTAAAAGCAGTGCCAATAGATCATTTATCTGTTGTACTAATCTCAATAAATACGAAAGAAGATGAGAGGAAATTACGCCGCAAATCTGACTCAATACTGGAAGTAAAATATTAATTCTTACGTTTTTGACAATTTTTCGCGATCTCATGTCTTCTAAGATAAGAAAAAGAAAAAAATAATTCATTCTTCTTCTCAAGAATTTCACAAAAATTCTTCTCACGAGATGGAGAACTGATTCAGACGCCATATTTGGCGGCGAAATGGCCGCTATCCGATGCTAGATGTATTCGCAGGGCAGAGGTTGTAAACACTGAATCATGTACAGCAGAGAATTCAAAATATCGAGGTAATGAGGCCTCACAATACCGCGGTTGAAACTTAATGACCCAACCGACGATTTATACGTTGATGACATAAGAACACTATAGATTCCCACGTTAATGAGCTTCATTGATAATACAACCATTCACACTCATACATGACCACCAGCTCTGGACTTTACTACAATGATGAGAGCTATGGCCATTTCACCGTCGACTCCATTAGCCAACTGAAAAATTAAATTTAGCTTATTCCAAAGTTGGCAAAGGATTTATATTTTCATAGTATAAAAATTATTAAAAAGTCTCTAATGGAGAACTCGACCAATCGCATCCACGAATAAGTTCGAACAACAAGTTCTCCATCAGCTCTAATCCTTTTCATCTCTACAGTTTTCAAACCACCATTAGCGTCTTAACGCCGAATCTCTGTTTCAAGCGGAAGTGCAAAGCTCGCATGTCCAAGTCTCCATTTATAGATAGTAAAAGTTTTCAGGACAGAAGACACACGAAGAGACTTGAATAATTAAATTTTTTTGTTATACGTTCATGATAAAATGAAAATAAATGAAATAATTGTCACTCAAAAAACATGTCAGATAAATTTCATAAAAATATGATGCAGCGTTTGTTGTTTCTTGATGAACTTGAATAAGAAACTAAAAAAAAAAAGAAATAAAAGGAAAAATCATGAGAGCGTGGCACTTGCGCGGGCAATGTGCAAGCAATTACCCCGGTTTGTAAACGTTACGATCGTGGCTTGACAACGGATGCCCCAATGTGGTGGTAATGAGCGATCGATGGCCGCGTGAGTACATGTAACGATGCCATTGTCCCTCCACAGGCGTTCACCGTTTGGAGGAGGTGCAGGGACTTTCCAAATATATATGGACATCAATGACATTGGCGACCTACATTGCCTAGAAAAGGACGCTGAACACCCACTCAATATCCCTGACCCCCTAGGAAATGTCGGTCTAACAACGTCCAAAAATACCTCTATGAAATTCTCCGAGGATCTGGATCTCACTGCCAGCATCTGCAGCACATGGCCAATCATGTTGACCTCATTGCCAGTGCACCAATGTCAGTGTGCACGCCATATTTTCATATTTCTCCCCCCGTCCTTTAATAAAAATAATAAATAAATAAAAAAATATCTGAAGCAAGGTGAAATTAAAACTATACAGTTATATAGACGCTCCCAGCGTAAACTCGTTAACGAAAGAAATGCAACTGACTCACACACTGATCGTGTGGTCACAGGATTGTGGTGTACAGGGAGAATGGAGGAATGGTCCATTTCAGATAGGAACACTGCACTGGAAATCTGATGATAAAGCACAAACACCGCGAATTTCCAACGTTGAAACTCTTACACTTAAAAAAAAAAATCACCGTTGGAGTAGTTGCCACACATTCGTAAAGCTCTTTGCTTTTTCTCTCACGTACTCTTTTATATGTTACTCCTTACCAAGGTTTCATCATTCTTTCATCCCGATATCGCTCTCGTTACTACCATTGTTATGTGGTTATTAGTATAGGTCATTATTCCCTGGAATAATAGAAGCGTCTCTTGTTTGCAGATGAGAATTAGGAGTTTCATTGCCTTCATAGATTTCATCGTAATGGATCTAGGCTGAATTATATGCAACATGTAATAGTATTGCAAGCACTCAGGCTGAAGCATGTGTATCGATCTTACAAGGTAAGTCAGCTACTATAGGGTTTAATGCGCTTATGGCTGTGATCGTTATGCCATGGAAATGCTTAGCCCTTGGCAGTACCTATGCAAACGGATGAGCAGGACAAGGCTTTATACGTTAATAACAATCTCGTTGGGTGGATAGTATCCGTCTCCTTAACAATCCAATCAATTTAAATCTATGGGGTATTCATTTCATTGTATTCATTCCCTCCCATGCTCATTACAAATTTTAGAATCTAAATGTGTGTTTAATAAAATGAGGGGAGTAATTACACGACCAGTATGTTTAACAGAAATTAAATGCAGACAGGAAAAAAATTCGAGAGCCAGTTGTTGTGGATAATCTACCAGTTGTTATTGCAGTTTGTTCTGAACCCGAGAGTGAAGAATTTAGCCGAAAAATTGGGTAGTTGAGGCAGAATGGTGGGATGTGTTCTCTCGTGTAGAATGGCTGATTATGAAACGGACGAAAAACTCCAGCATTTTCCGTCTGATATATCAAACTCGTACCCAAGACAGGAACAGAATCAATTTATCAGAGACGTGGTGAGGCACAGTACATCAATGGCATGCAGTATTTTCAATGGTCCAGTATTTTGCGCCTTGTATAGCGTGAATTTGCCAATTGTCGAATCGATTTCGTTGATACTAGTGAATTTATATTGGAATACATTAAAAAGTCTATATTTCGGTATTCTCTCATTCTCTGGTACAACTGCGGGCGACATTCTATATATTGTTATTATTATAAACAGGAAATTAAAGGTGTCACTGGTTTGCCGTGGGCAAAGAGTAAAGCCAAGAAAGAATATTTCCATCGATATAAACGCGGATGTAGTCTGGCGTTATGATGGAACGATGATACCTATCTTTAAATTATTCAGTTTCCATTATTTTCAGTAGGTTCTTGGTGATATTCGGGCAAACAATTGTTTTGCTTTCTGCGGATAGTATAAGAATATTGGTACCGAGAGACGAAAATCGGAGTGTTGGGCACCGTAGGGCACTGAGGTTTGCACTCCCATACCACCAGAAGATGAAATGCACGTTTATTCGGAAGTACATTAAATCTATCTCCTGCAAATTTCACTGGCCACCCCTCTATAAATTCCACATAACTTCTAACAATCCAATGCTCGAATTAAAAATCCAGACAATTGCAGCACTCCAGTATCTGGAATATTCCGTACAGCTCACAACAATCATTACAAATTCCATCACAAAGGGAGCTAATTAATTTCCCAATTAGTAATACAATTGGACTGAAGAACACATTTAACAACTGATTCACTAGTCCACTCACAGACTTATGAGGAGGGCGTTTCTGTGGCAGCAGAATTTCTGGAGATTTTCAAAGGAATTAATAATATTTGTAATCGATTGATGCTTCTATCGGCCTTACAGTATTCAAACGATTACAGTGTAAGCAGTTTGAGGGTATCATACAGCAGAGATCTCTCAATGAGCAATCACGCCATTTCCCTCAGTATCGGGTAAACCAATACAAAATATGAGGGCAGAATGTGTATTCGCCTGATGATGATATCCAATACACAAATCCAAACTCTTGACACAATTTTCGTGTCCACCCCAGGGAGTTTATCAAGCCTATGGGGTGCTATATTTATAACAAAACCCTACAGTACCCTAGCCCATATATTTGATCAATTGGAATTTATTACGAACGGCAATTGGTTGAATAATATTTATAAATAAATAAAATTGATGCATAATTTTCATGGAAAACTACTTTTCAGTTCAATTATACCATGAGCCATAACCATGAGTGTGGCTTCGACGAGCTTGCGTATAATAACTGAAATTCAAATTGTGAGATTTCCTCAATTTATTTTTTTCTTCTGCCTTGAGGAAAGGCATTAATCTCCACAGTCATGCAGTGTATGCATTATTGTTTTGGTCTCTTTTTCATGCAAATATATCTCTTTGCTTTGAAAATGGGGGCAACTTAAAGCATGAATATTCAGCTCCAAGGGCTTTGCAATCTATAAAGGTAGCTATTATCTGAAGGTAGACGTGTTGACTGAGCAACACCCAATTCCGCTAGCCAATTTATCGATATAAGCGCAAATCCTAAAAGTTGACAAGCGACAAGTTGACCGCATTCGTGATGAGAGTAAAATTAAATGAAGCCAATGTTATCCCCAGTGGCAATTTAAAATACGAAATATCTCCCCATTCCTGCTTATGCATACAATTTGTTTGGAGTGTGGATTAAAATATCCCACTAATGAGCTATACCAGTTTATTGCATAATGAGTCAACAGTAAAGTACTGCACATTCATTTTACCGTATTCCTGCTAGTCTTTTAAGGACTACAAAAAAAAAGGATGGGGCTTACATTTCGTAACGCAGAAAATAACATTCACCCTGTCGACTGGTCCCTCTGACAGCGGGACCGCTACTGAGGCAGTTACCGAGTCAGCTGACGGGCAGACACCCCCATTGGGTGTGGCGCCCTCCCTCTCTTGGGGTGCAGTACTACGATGCCGCTGGGGTCACTCAAACCCCCAGAACTGAGCCTCTACTTTAGTCAATCCTCTTTGGGTGGGGGTAAAGAGGATTGAGTAAAGTGGAGGCTCAGTTCTGGGAGGGAGGGCGCCTCACGCAATGCTGGGGTGTCCATCAAGTCGACGGGGTTAATTTTATTTTCTGCGGCATGAATGCTTTTTGTTTTTTGTTTGTTTAACTGGAATTTAGCCGCCTGTAGAACGAGTGGAAGGGGGAAGCCACATTTTGTGTAATTTCAATGGAAAAAATTTTTTAATGTATTGAATATATACCACTAATGAATTTATCTTTTTAAATCGGCGCGTTATCCTAGCGGTAACGTGCTCGACTGGCATGCCGGCGGCCCGGGTTCAAGCCCGGCATTATTCATTTTTTTTTTTTAAAAAAATCCAAATTTTTTTTTTTTGTTAATGGCAAATCAATCGAAATATCCTTTAAAAAATGAATATTTGAAAATCGCGAAGATATCCAGTGAAATTGAAAAATTAGCAATTTTTTAAAACGATACTTTTGCAATATATATACTCCTAATGAAATTATAATTTTATAATAATGAGTTATCCTAGCGGTAACGTGCTCGGCTAGCACGCCGACGGCCCGGGTTCGATGCCGCCGTCATTCATTTTTTTTTTTTAATAATTCCAATTTTT